ATCCATCATATTGAACTTTTCAAGTATTTTGAAAATGTACTTACTTTGTGACAGCCATAGCTTGCCTTCATTTCTGTCTCTCCTTATCTCCATACCTAGGATCTTTTGTGCAGAACCAAGATCCTTCATGTCAAACTCCCTTCTAAGCAATGTCTTCAATTCCTGGATTTTTGACATGTCTTTACATGCAATTAGCATGTCATCAACATAAAGAAGCAAAAGGATGATATTACCATCCTTGAATGCATGAGTGTATATACAACAATCTGATTCACATCTTCTATACCCAATCTTCATCATGAAAGAATCGAAGCACTTGTTCCACTGTCTTGGAGATTGCTTCAGCCCATACAAAGACTTCTTCAACCTACAAACCAGATTTTCCTTGCTTGCTTCAATGAACCCTTGAGGTTGGCTCATGTAGATGTCTTCCTCCAAGTCCCCATGGAGAAAAGTAGTCTTCACATCCATTTGCTCCACCTCAATGTTCTCTTGAGCTACTATGGAGAGTAGTAGCCGTATAGAAGTATGTTCACCACCGGAGAGAAAATTTCATCATAATCAACTCCCTTCTTTTGCAAGTATCCTTTGGCCACCAACCGAGCTTTGAATATGGTGGCTCCCTTCCCATGCATATCTTCTTTCTTCCTAAATACCCATTTGCAGCCAATAACCTTGCGACCTTTGGGTCTAGGAACTAACTCCCAAACTGAGTTTTGGTGTAGAGATTCCATCTTTTACATCATAGCTTCCATCCAACTTTCTCATTCCTTGTTCTCAACAGCCTCTTGGAACGTGGTTGGTTCTTCTTCAAGAGCATTCAAAGCATAGTGAACTGCATCCTTCTCCCATCCAAACCTTTGAGGTGGTTTGATGGTTCTCTTGGGCCGGGACCGAGCTATAGATGACGGCTCCACCTGCTCTTGAGCCTCTGCTTCTTCTTGAGTTTGTTGTTGTTGTTGCCCAGCATCTTCCTCCTTAATGTTGGACTCCACCTCCTCCTGAACGTCTTCAGTTGGCTGTTCTTGTGAAGTTTCCCTAAACATCTTATTGAGTGGAACTTCAATGGTTGTTTCTCTCTCAACAACATCCTCATTCGCCTCTGAATTCTTGACTTTGGTCATAGGCATGGTCTTCTCATCAAACACAACATCCCTGCTGAGTATCTTCTTTTGGTTCACTGGATCCCATAGCTTGTAGCCCTTCACACCGCTCTCAAATCCGATGAAAATACATTCAAGAGACTTTGGCTTCAACTTGGATCTTTCATCACTAGGAATATGTGCATATGCACTGCATCCAAACACCCTAAGATTTAAATAATCAATTGACTTATTAGACCATACCTCCTTTGCACATTTGAACTCAAGATTTCTTGAAGGCAATCGGTTAACCAAATAGGCAGCATGGTTAACTGACTCCGCCCAAAATGACTCGGGCAATCCCGCATGAATCCTCATACATCTCTCACGCTCCATGAGAGTTCTATTCATCCTTTCCGCAGCTCCATTTTGTTGGGGCGTCTTTTTCACGGTAAAGTGCCTCTTAATGTCTTTATTTCTACAAAACTCAAGGAACTTGCTGTCTTTACATTCACCACCATTGTCACTCCTTAGGATCTTGATCTTTCTTCCGATTAGGTTCTCTACTTCCGCCTTCCACTCTTTAAATTTGGTGAAGACCTTAGATTGCTCCTTCATGAAGTAGACCCAAACCTTCCAGGAAAAATCATCCAAGAAAGTCACAAAGTAGCGAGCTCCACCTTTTGATTTAACCGGTGATGGCCCCCATACATCCGTGTGAATATAATCTAGCACACCCGTGCTTCCCTCCTCTTCGCTTCGTTGCTTGAAAGCTACCTTTGATTGCTTTCCCATGGTACATGATTTGCAGAACTCAAGCTTACAACTTTGAACACCTTTCAACAACTTTCTGTTGTGTAGTTCCAGCATGCCCCTCTCACTCATGTGCCCTAGCCTCAAATGCCAAAGCTAAGTTTCATCCTCCGAGTCCTTCCTTGTGGATACAGCTGCTCCACCTGTAATTGTTGTACCACACAACTTATATAGACAATTAGGTTGAACTTCTCCCTTTATAACCACAAGTGAACCTTTTGAGATTATGAGTTTCCCTCCACTAGCTCTAAATGAATAACCATTCTTATCAAGAGTTCCAAGGGAAATGAGATTCTTACGCAACTTTGGAATGTGTCTTACCATTCCAAGCGTCCTAATAGCCCCATCATGCATCTTTACCTTGATTGTACCGGTGCCTTTGACTCCACAAATTGAGCCATCCCCTATCATAACTTCGCCACCTTCTTCTTTCTCATACGTGTCAAACCACTCATTGTTTGAGCATATATGGTATGAGCATCCGGAATCCAAAATCCAATCGGAAGAGGAACAACTTGAAGAATTAGCCAATGCATTTGTTTTAACATTGCTATTAACACATAAAAGCTCACAACCACTTTCTGTGACTTCCTCAGCTGTGTTTACTGCATTCTTCCCTTTGTTCTTCTTCTTCTTCCATATGAGGCAATTATTTTTCCAATGCTCTTTTGACCCACACTCGAAACAACCTTATTTTGCCTTGGATTTGGACCTTCCTTTGTTGCCTTTGTTGCCTTCACGTTTCTTTGAATGGCCTCTCTCTCCGGTCTTTGCAACTAGACCTTCACCTTGAGAGTTTTCTCCCGAACACTGAGCCATCCTACGGTGTGTCATAATGTCTTGCACCACAGGCTCAAAATCCAGAGTAACATTCCCTAACATAAGAGTGGTTCGGAAGTGCTTATAGGACGGAGGTAAGGATGTTAACAACATAAGAGCCTTATCCTCCGTACTATAATTAACTTCCATTCTCTGCAAGTCAGCAACACATCTATTGAAACTACTTAGATGTTCCATTAGATTTCCTCTCTTCTCCATCTTAAGATTTAGGAGTTCTTCTTTAAGGAAGAGTTTGTTGGACAGCGACTTCCCTGCAAACATTTCTTCAAGCTTCTCCCATGTTTGCTTCGCTGTATCTCTTTAAGCACCTCATCGGAGAGGTAGTTTTCGATGACTCATCTAGCTAACTCGTCAAGTACACCCCATTCATCATCTGTCATGCTTGTTGGCTTCTTCTCCTTGCCAACTAACACAACATGGAGATTTTGTTGTGTAAGAGTTGACTTCATCCTTCGTTGCCAAAGTGTGAAGTTCTCCTTCTTTGTGAAAGGCTTTAACTCCACCTTCATACTTGTTGCCTGTGGTTGCTTCAGCTGCTGTGAATTGCTACCACTCTCAACTTCCTTGTCACTTGCCATCTTCGACACACTAGTACTCCAAAAAAAGAACTAGCACAACTGCCAACACAGCTCTGATACCACTTGTTGTGAATTAGAACCAATTCACTCCCCTTTAGACCTTGTTGTTGATGGACTTTGGACAAGACTCAATGATGGATGAGTCTTACACACACACACAGAAAATAACCAAGCACAAATGACACAAGTGTTTATAGAGGTTCAGCAAATTTTGCCTACATCCTCTTGGTGATCCCCTTGAGAAATTTCACTAATGAAGATAGGTTACAACTTTGGTTTACAAATGGAAACCCCCTTAGAACACTACCCTCACAATCTGTTTCTCTCACACCCTTGCTCAACACCTTGATACACTTGAGAACTCTCTCTCTTCTACTTGACTCACTACTTCACTCTAACTCCTTGCTGTCTTGCTTCCTCTTCCCTCAAATACACAAAGCTTTGGACTTGAGAAAAGACTCCTTCTTTTCCTCCCACGTTCTCCCCTTGGTTTCTTGACTTGGACCACATATTGGGCAGACAAAAGGCTCTCCATTCATGGCTTCATGTTCAGCCACCCCTTTTAGAACCATAGGGTAGGAACACCTTGAAACAAGCCAACATCTTTCCTTAATTTGCTCTCCTTGCTTCCCAGCAATTTGCTACCTTTCATTTAAGTCTGAACTGACTTAAAATGTCCTTGCAAGTGGGTAGAAAACGATAGCACACTAAAGAAACTGTTGAGAAACAATGAAGATTTGAAACAACACGTGTTGGGCGACCGGTCGCCAGTACTGTGCGACCGGTCGCTTTTGCACAGAGTCTCCAGACTTCAATTTGTCTTCCTGCGACCAATGGACGACCGGTCGCTCGCTACTTGCGACCGGTCGTATAGAGCTGGCGACCGGTCGCTTGTCGACTTTGCTCCTAACTTCGATTCTGTGTAAAAACGACCGGTCGCAAATGTCTTGCGACCGGTCGCTGGTCCAAAATTTAGTATCCTTTATGCGAGCCAATTTTCCAACAAAAAAAACTTACTCATGTTGAGATGAGAGACGCGTGTGGTCACTGGTCTAGGACAACAAGTCTGAAAAAACTGTTCTCTTTCTTCAATGATGTGCGTCAGATTCCTACCCACTCATCATCATATTCATATCGCATGTCTCTTGTCTCATCTCAAAGAAATAAGTGAATGTGAGTCACAAATAATGAGAAAAATCCAAAGGCAGGACAACGCCAGTGCTTCAGGAACAGGACATAACGAAAAAGCTGCTAAAGCAAACAAAAGTTATTGTTAAAAACAAATAAAAGGCGGGAAACAAAACACTCATTCCTTCTTCAATTTTGTTTCTTGTTGGTTTCACTCTCGATCGGTAGCATTATGAATTTGGATTTTAATGTGAGAAGATATTCATTATTTAATTTAATGTGGAGAAGCATTTTGTACCGTTGGATGGTTATTAAAGTCTGTAAAAAAAATGTCGCCAACCAAAACATATTAAATTAGTTGTAAAGAAGGACTAGGGTTTCTTCATGATATTTTTAAGACTATTCATAGTTTGTGCAGTCAACTACCATTTCGTGCTGGTGTCGCTATGATTTCTTTCTCTATTATATTATTTACCCAATTTTAGAAAGAAAAAAAAATTATTTACCCAACCACTATTTAACTCAGCTTCTTTTTAATTTTCCTAGGTGTCTATATATACAAGAGTTCGTCTTCTTACAATTTTCATTAAAAGGATCCTTCTCTCCTTCCCTTCCCAGTATATAGGCCGCCACTCGATCCTAGTGTAGAAAATCGGCTCCCCCACTGCTTGCTTTCTCTTTAATTAAGGTTTCAAGCTTTGTTCCTTGTTTATTTTTCTCAGTGTTTTCTGTTTTCTTTTTCTTTTGGGTAAAGTTTAGTTTGCGTTTTCAAACTGCATGCTAAGCCACTTTGTTGTAGTGATAGGCAGGCGGATCTCATGGTTTCTTTCTAGTCTGCTGTGTGGGGAAGTTGATCCAAAATACTTTGTTAAAATCTGGTATTCTTAGAATTTTTTGTTTTTGTTTTTGTTTTCTGGTCAGATGTCTGAGATCCCTCTACATCTTCCTTAGCTTTTAACTTTTGTCCCGTAACTACTTGGGCTTTATTGGTGCCTCCTTGTTCCTTCTTCTTCTTTTTTTGGCCATAAACCGCTTCCCCGTTTCCAATATCATCACTTCACTTGCGTCATATCTTAAAACTTGCAAACTGATGTGAGTATTAATTTAATATTGTGCATGATTTGACTGCTGTTCTTTAAGTACTCTCCCAAAACTAAATTGTGTGGTGGTTTTCTTTTACCATTTTGGTGCTAAATTGTTTTGCTACTTCTTTTTCCACTTTGTTTGCCACTGCTGCCTTGCATAACCAACCAATTGTGCTATGTTTTGAACAGGTTGGTGGATTGCGGCGCAAATGGATGGGCAAAACTCAACTCATTAGTAGTACTCTCCTACCCAAACAACGAAACATGGCAAGGTTGGCGAGGAGAGATGGCAGGCCCATACGATACTTTGTAAACTGCTTGGTTGGTTGTGATGAACACAGCCACGCAGGAACAAGCAATTGTGAGCTGCATAGTCAAAAAAAGGCTGCTGCACGTCACCATTTCTTCATTTTCTTTTTTAAGTGTTTTACAAAAACACAGAAGAGAGGAAAGAATTTCACTCAAATGAATGGGCAAAGCTCATCATCATGGCAGCAAAAAGTCTCATATCTAAACAACATATATGCCCCACACTGCTCAAATACCATAGAAAAATTTGCAATTGCATGGCATTGTTTTGTGTCAATAGATGTGCACTAAAATTTGTTTCGAACTTTTATATAATATAACCTGTTACCGAGAAAATGGGGTGACATTTACCGAGACTTTGGTCATTGTATGGTCAACCATTTTGAACTTGACAGAGGGGCAAGAAAAGCAAACATCTTCCACTGCCATAAAGCCCTAATTTGTCTATATATTTGGCCCTATAAATTGCTAGTTAGTAGCATTGGGCCAGAAACAGATCCAAAATAATTGAACCAAACTTTGCATGGGTTTGATGAGGCTCTGAGCAAACCTAATTCCAAAATTTCGAGTCAAAAATTGAAACAACCAAAAGCATGAACCTGCTCAAATTACCCCTTCAAAGAACTTCACTCAAGTTGACGGTCCAGATTGAACCCCTCAAAGCACCCCCGCACTATAAGCCCCTCATTATAGAAGATCCTTAAACCTAATACAATTCTTTTTTTTTCTATTTTTAAAGTACAAGAGATATCAAAGCATGGTAAAATCGAAACAAAACCTCTGTATTAATGAAATACCACAGCCAGAAAGCATTTTGTACCGTTGGATGGTTATTTATATTGCCAACCAACATAAACAACATAACTAGGGTTTCGTCATGATATTTTGAAGACTGTCCATAGTTTGTGCAGTCAACCACCATTCCATGTATGGATTCACTAGGATTTCTTTCTTTATTATATTATATATATACCCAACTACTACTATTTAACCTAGCTTCTTCCTTTTTTCCCTTGGTGTCTAGATTTTCACTGTGCTTTCTGTTTTCTTTTTCTTTTGGGACCTTTTAATATTCTGCTACTTTTGGGAAACTTTTGTTAATTTCCCTTTTTAATTCCCTTTTGCTTCTTAGGGTTTCTAGGAGTCTTTACACTATTTTTAGTCTGTAGCTAGGGCATTACATTATCTTTATGAATTCATTAATCAAGAAGTTTTCTTATATTTGGTGAATTCCATACTAGGTTCTCTTAGGTTAATCGTTTGATTGTCTTATTACGTTGCCACGATCACATAGTTGGTGTGACAATTTTATTCATGTCCATTGTCAAGCTCATATCATTTATATGAGCAGAAAGAATTAATCTATAACAAAAATAATACTCCAAACAGTGAAAAGAAAAACAGTAGGAAAGGCAGTCAACATTCATCTTCACTGCTGTTCAACTTTACACGCGAAGGCCAATGGATGAAAGTGAAACTTTAGCCACTGTAAGTGTTTCATCAACTCTTATCAATTTTTTCTTAACGTTTAAGAGACGGCACTTGCCCTGCCTACATATAATGGAAACTCTAGAGTTGGTTTTGTTTTTTATTTTTCGGGTTCAATATATATTTCTTCTTCTTCTTCAAGTGCATGATGAACTTATTTAGTGGGTTGTTGTTTTGTTTTCTGGGTGAGGAGGGCGAGAGCAAGGATTTGATTAATGAGTAGCCAGATTGCATCTTGTCATCCATATTTTCATTGTTAACCTTGAAAGATGTAGTGGATGCCACTAGCATGGTATCACCTCGGTGGAGGCGTCTTGTGTTGCATCCAATACTAACAAGGCTCAATCTTGAATTCGACATTCCAAACGTTTTCGGAATCAGCATTGATGACGATGCTTACTGTGATGACGACGACCTGATTGCTGATAAACATCGGAAACAAGACTTTATAAGATGTGTGAACAAAGTTTTGCAGCTCCACCATGGCAATAAGGTAGACTCTTTCAAAGTGAAATTCTACTTCAACAGAAAATCTACCGCCATTCTTGACGAATGGATTCGCTTTGCAATCACAAAGGGAGCTGAAGTGCTTTACCTTCATTTCAGTCGTTACTCGGAAGCAGAAAAAGGAAATTATTATGATTTCCCTTGGCCCCGTTTGGTTCACGGAATGGATTTGAGGGGAAATCAATTCCCATGTCATTTCCCAAGGAATGGGAATGAAAGATTCCTTTCCCACGTTTGGTAATGTTGGGAAAGTAATCGGGAGATTTCACTTTGTTTCCTTTCCCATGTTTGTTTTGAGTAGGAATGGAAAACAAAATTTGTATAATTTTCCAATTATACCCATATTAAATCAAATAAAAAAAAAATGCATTTAATGATACGTTGTAATTATAAATTGTTCATAGGGACAAAATAGTCATGAAAATTGTGCATTGAATGTTGGCACATTTTCCCAAACTTTCCCATGAGGAGGGAAAGCAAAACCCAAGTTAAGAGGGGGGCATCACTTTCCCCCCTACTTTCCCATGTGCCAGGAATCCGTTTCCCATTCCCGGACTTACCAAACATGGGAAAGCAATTGAATTCCCATTCCTATGCCTCCTTTCCCACGAACCAAACGGCCCCTGCTAAGGCCATCAACTCTAAAAAATTTGTCACTGACCGGATGTGTTCTAAGACTTCCACCCAGTTTTGACAGATTCAGTCATCTAACAACTCTTTATCTGTACGAAGTTATCGTAGACAACATTTCTCTGGCACGTCTCTTATCTGACTGTTTGCTCCTTGAAAGCTTGACCTTGGATTATTGCTGGGGTGCCTCGGAGTTGATGGTTAAAGGTCCATCACTTCGTCTCAATGATTTGAAAGTGTTCCATTGTTTTGATATGCAAAGAGTTGATATTTCTCTAGTAAAGCTTGCTTCCTTGGAGATCTTGAGTGGAAGTTTACACATGAATCTTTCCATCAAACCTCCATATCCAGCAAAAATTTCTTTTGGTTCGATTCTTTACTTTAACTTATGTGCTCGACTAACCCAATTTGCATCGTTTTCTTGGCTTGAGACTCTTCATCTGCAACTGGAGATGCTGCGTCATGATGTGAGTGAAGATTTATTTCTAGCTTTCAAAAGCATGTCAGTTGATATTATTTTGCGAAACTAACCTTTAGACGGTTGATGTTTATGTGCAGGAATTGCCCCGAAGCTTACCAACGTTCAGAGACCTCAAGAAACTGGAGGTGGATCTGTTGTTTTCGCCGAAAGCTGACCTCGCGGGGGTTCTGAATCTTCTCAAGGCTACACCTTTTCTGGAACAACTTGTAGTATCGGTTAGTAATTCAAAAGTTTTTACTTGCTATGCAAAATCAGTTGTGTGTGTCCTCTGATTCTGTTGCTTCTTGTTATTTGTATATCTCATCCAACCAAATTAAATGGCAGGTATTGCATGTATGGGGTGCTTGTTTCGGTGATAGTTTCTGTGAGGATGAACAGGAGATACGAAAATTTTCGGGGCTGAAACATAATCATCTGAGAAAAGTTAAGTTGCAGGCATTTCGAAGTACGCCGTACGAGATAGAGTTTGCCATTTCTATCTTGAAGAACACAACAAAGCTCGAGATCATGGAAATCGATCCGTTTGGAGAAATATATCTGGGTGCTGGAGTGTGGCGCAAGGTCTTGGGCATACGCGGTCTATATGCATCAAACTCATCTTGGGAAGAAAAAGACAGGGCACTTGTACAAGAGAAACTAAAGGAAGTAAAGACTGATGCCAGAATTATAGTTCTGTAATGGTTTTATTGAAACTTTAATTAGGACAATCTAATTATTGAAAGGTTTGATAAATTTTATTAGGGTCAGGGACATTTTATTATTAGATGGTGCAAATTGCATCATGATCTAACCTTAAATTAATAGGACAAAAATATTAGTTTAATCATGGTCTACTTAATCAAATTTTCGTGTCCTATCATTAAAAAGTAAAAATCATCAAATTAATAGAAAATATATGTTTTTACCAGACAATTACACAGCCAAAAGACAATACTTGATCCAAAAAGACATGGTTCTCCACACTGCTGCTACGCTTGGTCACTAAGGTAAGCTCCCATGTTGCCTCCCTCCACAATCAATGTGATGTCGCACCAAGTGTCACTTTCTAATGTAAAGGGCAGATTTGTCCTGTTGGTTAGCATAAAGAGGATTCTTGATATGCTCTGCTCCTTTATGTGATTGCTTTCTTACGATGAATTTGGAGATCGCATTTGTCTAACATCCAATCAGAAATCGGAAATCGGAAAAGAGTCAAATTCTTGGTGTGAGGAGAGCTGACTTCCGCTTTGCATACTCGTGCGCAATGCTCATTGAACTCTTGCTATGCCGCAGAGAGAATTCAGCAAGCAGAATTTGGCTCTCTTCAAATGTCAGATCACCATGGCAACCCTGTACATTCGTGCACGCTAGTTATTAGCATATGCTGATTGAAATTTAAGTGAACATGCAACAGCTGTAATGCTCCAGCAACTTCCGGTAGAACCAACAGAGGTTTGTTGTAGAAAAAGAAGGAAAAATTTAAGATCCAAAACTGAATTTGGCTTCATATACGCAATACAAAAACTCAGGCATGCTCAATTGCACATTCAGTTGAGAACTGAATTTCAAAACCTATCAAAAGCCAGCATAGAATATTTGATCTACGATTGCCTGGTAATTTAATCTCATTAGATATCACTTGAAAAGTGCCTTTTTCTATTAAAAAACATACAGCAATGAAGACCAGCATAAAATAACAGTAACGATAATTTTCTAAGCAATAGTGTGATTACCAGGCGAGAAGTTCTATCACAAACAGCATGGTGCATGAGAATGCCTGCAGCAACTGAAACATTGAAAGAGTCCACCATGCCTTTCATCGGAATACTGCAATGCAAATCTGACAAATCCAGGGCCTCATCACTTATTCCCCTGTATTCAGAAAATTCAAATTAAAAAGAAAACTACTATAATTAATATCCAAGAACATATAGCAATGCATTAACTAGAGGCAAAGCAAGAGCAGAATATATGATTAGCATTCTCAACATAATAGGCCAGCACAAAAAGAATGTACTAACGGATCTCACATTCCACAAGAGTATATACAAGTGTGTATCACAATGAACAGGACTCCAAACTAAATTTCTTTTTGAAAGAGCATTGTATCGAAGGCATAATTTTCTTAGTGTTATTAACTTTTTCTTGGTTGAATTTCTAAATTCATCCATTGGTGAAAAAGGAACTAATGTATATTTGATATTGATCAGATGGAAACAAGTATATCAGCATCCCTAAACCCTAAAGTTTAGGGATGTGTAAATAGTAGAAGGTATAAATACCTATTTTCATTTCCGACTACTATTGCTGTTGGGCATGACCAATCCATGTCGTAAACAGACACCTTCAAAAATAAAATGCAAGGGTCAATCAGATACAAGCTTGAACTTTCAGGATGCAGAAGAGAACCCAAAAATCAATCTACCACTTGTAATCAGAAAATATAAAAAAATTCAAATCTTTTTAGATTATGGTGCATTCCTGGAAGTAATATTACTCTTTGAACATCCTTTTCATGCAAACATATTCTAAAGAAGAAGAAAGTATGATAATTACCGCATCCATGCCCACATGTGTTGTGGCAATTCGATAACCGCGCGATTTCAGAACTTCAAAGCACTCAGGAGTAGAGTCCCAAAGTTCAATGTCCAACCATTTCTCTGCTCCCATACTGACATGGCGATTGTCTCTATACCTGAAACAAGATCAAGCTTTTTCTATTACAAAAAAAGTACAGTTAAGAAATGAAACTCATTACAGAAGAGCTTCAATTAAACATACTAATCGAAATAAAACAAATCTCCTTTTTAATTTTATAAATTTGTTGAAGTAAAACCAGACCCTTTTCACCTCAAATGCCGTTGCACCTTTTGGAGCTGTCGCACGAGAGCACATGAACCGACTGAAACCCGAGCGCATCGGCGGACCGGAACGCGGCCGAGACGTTGCCGAAATCGCCCAACCCTTCGACCACCAAACACACCGAGTAGCTCCGGTTCTTCACCACCCTCCTGAACCTCTCCTTCCTCACATCCAATATGTACGGATCCAAAGCTTCCAGAACCTCACCGCTGTTGAGATAAGCATCTTCCTCGCAGCTGAACTTATCAAGGTATGGGAACCACCGACCGCCGCGCTGGTGTGCGGACTCAGGGTTGCGCTCCATTTTCATCAGGCGTGCGACGTCATTTTTCTGCTTGAGCAGTTGCTCCACGGTGTCTTGCGTCGGGTTCTCCGGCGGTTCTAGGGTTGAATCTGTGGGTTGGGCTTCGTCTGTGAAATCTGCCGCTTCTGTTGAAATTGAAGCGTACGGCCGTGAAGGAACATTGTGCGAAGCAAGTCTGAGCCCTGTAATCAAATTGAAATCACAAAATTGAATTAGACATTTGTGTATGAGTGTCGTGAGAGAAACACAGAGGGAGAGAGAGAGAGGGTACCTTGATTGGGTGATAGTAGAGGAGAGAAGCGGAGGGAGGGTGAGTGGAGCAGAGGGATGGGTGGTCCACTTGCTCGGAGACTGGAACTGATTGAAGAGAGAGATGTACGGACTAGGGTTTTGCAGGCACTCATTTTGCAGTGATTTTGGCGCTAAGCCGCGGTCCAGCTGCTCACTATAGCTGTGCAGAGGACCAAAGGGGATTTTCATTTGGGATAGCGTTCATATCTTACGACGTCGTTCCGTACTTAGTATCATAAAAAAAAAAAAAGAAACGATGATTTGGGCCCATTGGGCTATTTTAAAGAAAGGTACTAAAACCTAATAACATTCAAACATTGAAGAGAAGATAACTATTGGGACAAATGATTTTTCTTATTAATCAACAACTGAGAGCTGATCAAGCACAAACTAATTGTAATCATTACAGATTAACGTTGACCAATCATAGTAAGCTACAATCCAGATGAAGCAAAGGTTTCTAAACCATTAGATTAGATTCTGGTGAGATGCTGTTCTTCAGAGGCTACCAACCCATCATGATGTCTTTCTCCAATTATTTGCTCCTTTCTCCAATTATTTGCTTCAGAAAATTTGGTGAAACTTGTGATCAACTGTTCAACTAACCCATTTGTCAGACTGGTTGCTATAAAAATAAAAATAAAATAGAACCATCAGCATCATTTAAAGAACCCAAAGGCCTCTATTTGGTGAATTTAAGAGGAGCAGCATTAGCTAGTGCATTGACATCTTTACACTTTTCATCTCCATGTCAAAAATCACAGCTTCTCCTCCTCACATAGCTCTGTTGCCAAGTGCTGGGATGGGTCATTTGACCCCCTTCCTCCGCCTTGCTTCCATGCTCTCCTCCAGAAGCTGTACGGTCACCTTGATCACTGCCTCCCCTTCTGTTTCTGCTGCAGAGTCCTCTCACATTTCCTTCTTTTTATCTCAGCATCCACAGGTCAAGCACATTGAGTTCCAAGTCCTTCCCTCCAAGCCCACCACTGATGACCCTTTCTTCCTCCAATTTGAAGCCACCAACCGCTCTGTCCATCTTCTTTACCCTTCACTTGCTTCTGCATCTCCACCTCTCTCAGCCATCTTTTCTGACTTTGCAGTGGCTCCCAGTATTGCTCCTGTTGCTGCTGATCTTGGCATCCCCAATTACATCATCTCCACCACCTCTTGTAAGTTTTTCTGTCTCCTAGCCTACCTTCCAGTCCTTCTATCCGACCCTTTGAGTTTTAGCAGCAGCCTCAGTGAAGTCAGCATCCCAGGCATCACCCCATTGCCCCTACCAAGCATTCCTCCTCCATTTAAGAACCCAAATCATCTTTTCACATCACTAACTGCGGCAAATGCTCAAGCTCTCTCTAAGGCCAAAGGGATTCTAATGAACATTTTCGATGATTTTGAACCGGAAACTCTAGCTGCTATCAACAGCGGCAGAGTTTTAGACAATCTCCCACCAATCCTCCCCATTGGACCATTAGAAACTTTTGAGCCCAAGAAAGAGCTGGACCAGTCCTATCTGCCATGGCTAGACAGCCAACCAGCAGAGTCTGTAGTTTATGTGAGCTTTGGAAGCAGAACAGCCATGTCCAGTGCTCAGATAACAGAGCTGTCAAAAGGGTTGGAGAGAAGCGGATATAGATTTTTGTGGGTACTTAAAACAAGCAAAGTTGATAAAGATGATAAAGAAGAGCTGAAAGATCTTCTGGAGGAGTCATTTTTTGACAGAACTAAGAACAAGGGAAGAATAGTGAAGGGGTGGGTGAGCCAGCAGGACATTCTTGAACACCGTGCCATTGGCGGATTTCTCAATCACTGCGGGTGGAATTCGGTCATGGAAGCAGCCCGGAAGGGCATACCGATGCTGGCATGGCCACAACACGGGGATCAAAGTGTGAATGCAGAGGTTGTGGAGAAGGCAGGGCTGGGAATATGGGAGAGGAAATGGGGTTGGGGTCTTGAAGGGTTGGTGAGTGGTGAGGAGATAGGGAAAAAGATTGTGGAGCTAATGGAAGATGAGAAGCTGAGGGGTTTGGCGAGGAAGGTAGGGGAAAATGCTGGGAAGGCTATTGGTATTGGTGGGAAATCTGAGAAGGTGCTCACTGAAGTCCTGGAATATCTTGAGCAGAAGAAGAACTGATGAGAAGTCCTTGGATTTGTGTATTTAATTTTAAGTATCATGTCATTTTCCAATCTCAAATTGGCAATATCTCAGATTTGGGTGTGTAGTTTTTAGCCTCAGAGCCCTCAAGCCTCTGAAGCAGCATCTCAATTTGTAGCTAAAAGAATTCGCAAAAACTTAAAAGATTTTCAGTATCCTTTGCTTGGTTAATTTCTTCCCGCTCTACTGACCTTGAGTACGGGATAAGCAATTTTCACCTTGGTGCATAAAGTGCCTTCGCCAAGAATTCTTTGCCACTAACCGATTGCTTGGGGAGCTTAATACTACTATTAGTATTATCACCTTGGTGCCTACAGTGCCTTCGCCAAGCTCTATGGGTGATTACCGGCCAATCTCTTGTTGCAACACCATTTATAAAATAATTTCTAAGTTACTAGCAAGCAAGCCGTATTAAATCGGTTCTCCCTGCCATTATTGGCCTATCCCAATCGGCTTTTGTGGCTGGGCGTCACATTGGTGGTAATATTCTTCTTGTGCAGGAATTATTCAAGAACTACCACCGTGCTCATGGGCCCCCTGGGCGTGCTAATAAGGTTGATATCCTCAAGGCGTATGACTCTTTGGATTGGAATTTTCTTTTACATGCTCTTGAGGCTTTTAACCTTCCAGAGCAATTTATTGGGTGGCTTATGAGTTGTGTTACTAGTCCTAACTTCTTTGTGGCTGTCAATGGCGAGCTTGCTAGATTTTTTGCTAGTAAGAGAGGGCTTAGGCAAGGAGACCTCATTTCCCCCTACCTCTTTGTTATTGCAATGGAAATTTTTTTTCCTTAATTTCAAAGAAAACTCTATGTGTTCATCCATGTACTTCTCGTAAGTACTCTATTTGGTGGCTGCCTAACCCCTCGGGACGTTTCTCTTCTGCCTCTGCTTGGGATATTTTTTGGACCCCTAGCCCAAGCCCAAATGTTCCTTGGGCTACGCTGGTTTGGCATATATGGCTGGCTATTCGGAGAAAGTTGTCGACTTTGGATCGGGTCAGCGAGTTTGCTCCTCAAACCAACCCGATGTGTGTTCTTTGTGGGATGTATGTGGAATCTGATGACCACTTGTTTTTTGAGTGCCAATTTTGTGAAGGGATTTGGAGGCTGGTTCTTCGTCACTGTGGGGTTCCGTGGTTAAACCCTCCTTGGCCATCATTTATTGACTGGGCTGCTCTCCTTGGCAGTCACAGTGTATAGTATATGGATAGAGCGTAATAACAGGATTTTCAAGGATACTAGATCTTCCCCTTCTTTGGTCCTCAAAAATATCATTGCTACTACCCAATGCAAGATGTGTTCTCTCTCCTATAAACCAGTGCAAGCTAACTTGACTGTTGCTCACAACTGGAACATACCTATTGCTGTTGATAGGTAGGTGTTGCCCCTTGGTTGGGTTGTTCATTCCTTTGAGTTTTTTGCTCAGTTGGTTGTTTCTTTGTTCCCATGAGTCTCCTCGTGGTTGTTTGTATTAGGCTTTTGCCTCTTTTTGGTCATACATTATTCACTCACCAAAAAATAAAATTGATAAGCAATTTTGATTTGGACATGTCAACGCACTGTTAGTTGGAAAAGTTCAAACTTTCTTGGCCTTGAAGATAAGTTGTATGTCCTTTTTGCTGCTGGATTTGGCCTATTTGACTACTTTTGCTGGTCACAGACGTGAGCCATTTGACCACATAAGCAACACACATTCAGTGCACCTGCTGGTCATGTAAGCATATTTTCGTTGTCGTAATGTCCACACTCATACACATGCCTCCTTAGCTCATCAATATAAGTATGCCCTCCACTGCTTCCATTGTAGCTACTCCAAAACTCATCAAAGTTCTCTCACCAAACCATTCTTTTCCATTAAAATGTCGGATTCCGGTGATCTACAAGTCGCTCATGTAGCTCTCCTTCCAAGCGCCGGCATGGGCCATCTCACGCCCTTCCTTCGACTTGCTGCTTCACTCACGGCACACAATGTCCATGTCACCTTCATCACTCCAAGTCCAACCGTCTCACTTGCAGAATCACAGAGCTTGTCTCACTTATTCACTACCTTTCCACAAATTACTCAAAAGCATCTTCATCTCCTTCCACTTGATCAGCCCTCTGCCAATTCAGAAGACCCTTTTTACTACCATTTCGAATTAATTCGCCGTTCTTCTCACCTACTCCCCCCTCTTCTATCTTCGCTCTGTCCACCTCTGTCTGCTATAATCACAGACATGAGCTTCGCCTCCACAGTTATCCCTTTGACTGATTCTCTTGGACTTCCTAACTACATTTTCTTCACATCATCTGCCAAAATGTTGACATTTTATGCATCCTTCCACACTATGCTTGGTCCAAATCATGAGATAGAAGACCACACAAAAGTTTCAGGTTTAGAACAAATACCAAAAGCATGGATTCCTCCACCACTTCTACAGGGCGGTAATAATCTTCTGAAGACCTTTTTCATAGAGAATGGTAAGAAGATGACAGAATCAAGTGGAATTTTGGTAAACACATATGAAAGTATAGAGCGTCAGACTCTGGCAGCACTAAATGAGGGCAAAGTATTGAAAAAGCTACCATCAGTGATTGCCATTGGGCCACTTGCACCATGTACCTTTGAGGAAAGTCAACAACTGGCATGGCTTGATGATCAACCAACAGGGTCAGTGCTCTATGTCAGCTTTGGAAGTAGGACTGCCATGTCAAGGGACCAAATTAGAGAGTTGGGTGATGGCTTGGTGAGGAGTGGTTGTAGGTTTCTGTGGGCTGTTAAGGATAAGAAAGTTGATGTGGAAGACAACGAGAAGCTGATTGAGGTGCTTGGACAGGGATTACTGGAAAGGGTTAAGAAAAATGGATTGGCAGTGAAGAACTGGCTCAACCAAGAGGAGATATTGAGCCATCCAGCAATTGGTGGGTTTTTAAGCCACTGTGGCTGGAACTCCTTGACTGAGGCTCTCTGGAACGGTGTGCGAATATTAGCATGGCCACAACATGGGGACCAGAAAATCAATGCAGATTTGGTGGAGAGAATTGGACTGGGAACGTGGGATAAGAGTTGGGGTTGGGGTGAGGGGGAGATGTTGGTGAAAGCACAGGACATTGCAGAGAGGGTTAGAGAGATAATGGGAAACAAGCTGCTGAAATTGCAAACTGACCACATTAGAGAAGAGGCCAGAATGGCCGTAGGAGATGGTGGTAGTTCTACAAAGAGACTTTATGCTCTCATCGAGATGTGGAAGAGGGTTCAGGTAGTATGATAGTTAAAACCTTCATCTTCCGAACCCATCTGCGTTGGGAAATTCCTAGATGAAAACAGCACTGAGATCAGATTAGAAACAAAGATGTATTCAGTTGAGACAAATCATATATAGGTCAAACCACAATCTCATAATATTTGAAACCACTGTTAGGTTACATCAAACTATAATAATAGAACAAAAATAACTTCTGCGTTTATTATGTCTTCTTGTTCCATGGGTACTGCCAACTAAAGATTTATTTTCTCAGAGTGATGTAGCAGTTAACCAGAAATAGCTTTCTTTGAAATGACATCAAAAGAAATTCCATTCTCTTGGAGCCTTTCCTGGAGATCAGTTGGGCCAAATACAATCCCAGGTGGGAAAATTCCTCCCCTTGGAAGGTTGTTACGTTGGTGCAGAAGAATAAGAGCACACTGCAATAGAATTATTGGCGTGGTCAAATAGCCAATCTCAGGACCCATCACTCTTGTTATTATTTCCATATCAGGTTTTCTGTCTCCCTGTGAAACAAGGCTGCTGTCACTGAAACCTTTTCCAACAAACCACATCTTAAATGAAGCACTTCTCACCTCATCCTCAGATGGACCCTTCTTCCTAAACCATCCAACACTGAAGAATGAGGGAAACTTTAAGAGAAGCCATCTCCCAAAGGAAAATCTTCCCAAGAGCCCAATAAAGATTCCAACGGTCATGATACGCAAAATGCCCAACAGAGACTTAGAGCCTATCTTCACCCCAAAATGAACTGGCTTCACTGTTGACCAGAAGGCTTCTCTTTTTTCAATGTGTTCTGCACTCTCATTGCTCCCAGGAAGACCACAACGGTTTTCAGTCAGAACTCCAAGTGTTCTACGTACAACAATAGCATCTGCTGAAGGTAGCTTCACAGCCCAAAGGCCAATATCTTTCTGTTGTTCTATAGTTGGTCCTTTAGGAGGAGGGGGTCCAGGAATCTGCAACCATTAAAGTAAATAAAGATTAACCTATTAGGCTGCCATGCCTAAGTAATGTACACATGCATCAACCTAAAAAGGAGCATAAATAAATTACTCAAACTTAAGATCTTGCATTTGTTGATGTCTATTAGCTGCAAACATTTGGAGTAACACAACAAACCCAGAAAAGCAAATAAATAAATAACTTTGCATGAACAATGAACCCCTATACATGAACTACAAGATCAATACGCAGACCATCAATGGTTCCAAAATAGTTGAGTAAGAACTGAAAATGCATCTAGGATCCATTGTAATTTTTGCTTAATGAGCAAACTAAAAAATTGAAAGCAACATACAATACAAAGCACAACTTCAAATTTATATTGGCTTCTAACTATAACAGGATCCGAATTGAGACAACAGTTGTAGAAAGGTTTAACATTTTATCTCTGTTCTCTCCCTACATCATTCCAGCAATAGACAAAGCAGCAAATTGTATAAATAAATTTAAAGAAAATCAATTTAACGTAATCAAGATTATTAAAATCATACCAATTAGGCCATATCAAATTTGCACCTCCCAGAAAATTCATAGAATCACAATGCGAACAAAAAACTAAAAATCTGAGTTTTATTTGACTTCCTTACCGCAGGCCTTGGTTTTCTTGGTCTGGACCGCCTGAGCTCCTGCAACTTGTCGGCATTAGCCACACCCAACACCGCCGATTCAAACGTCCCGAAATTCCCAACAATCCTCTTCTCCGACTCCAAGCTCACATAAGCCTCGACCCGGTTCGGCAGAGCCGGATCGACCCACTGCCTCAAATTGAACATCAACCCAAACTCAGCCGGAACCGAGTCGAACCCACATGCCGAAATCACCAAAGAACCGGCCTCCACGGCCCGGTCATGGTACTTAGCCTCCATCCTCTCCATGAACTCAGGCTCTCCACATATATCCAAGTAATCGCAGCCAGTTTTGGCGCAAGCGGCCACCACTGGCTCGCCGTAGAGGCGAAAGGGCCCCACGCAGTTGAGGATAAGTTTGGTTTGAGTGCAGAGGCGGTGGAGCGATGGTGGGTCGGTGGTGTCGGCGGTGATGATGGGAATGGGCGGTGGCGGGTTTGGGTGAGCTGCCCATTTGAGGGTTTGGGTTAGTTTTGTGGGGCTGCGACCAGCTAAAGCCAGAGACTTGAGAGGGGAGGAGGGTGTGTTGAGGAATTTCAGAGCTTCTTTGACAACATACTTACCTGTGAAGCCTGAGGCTCCAAGGATTATCAGATCGTAGGGAGGGTCGGGGGTGTTGGGTTGAAGTTCTGGCATGATTGAATGAGCAGGAGGTTTGGAGCTGAGAGTTGAAATTTGAAAGTGGGTTTTTATAAGCTGATGAAACTCGTGTCAGCTTGCTGTAGTTATGTGTGCCATTTTTGGTGACTGGCAGGAGCAAAATATGTCATCTTGTAGATGATGAGAGAAGCTTCTAAGACAAACCCAAACCTTTTTCATTCCATTAGGCAAAATAACAAAAAGAAAAGAGAACCTTTGTACCTAATTTTCTCAGCTAAATTAGCTACCAAGAGATTTATTTAATTATGAAAAGATAAACATTTTCTATTACGTACAAGAAACATATTCTTTTGTTTGCAAGTCACCACCAATAAGTGAGGGTCGGTTATTCAAATTTAGGAATCAAAATTGAATTGGACGAGAGGAGAAATTCACATAACGAACCCCTGTTTATATATGCACCTCTATTAGACTATATCCTGGATTTCTTTTTAAACCTCTCTGTTTTGCTGCGTCTCTTACTCTGACTACTTCACCCCATTTTCCACCTTCTGCATATAAATTTGACACCATGGCAAAAACACTTGAGTTCTCCGGGTCTAAATCCAAGAGGCGCCTTCCTAAAATCTCACCCATCTCCGTATTTCCATGTACTTTACAAGCAGCAAGCAAAGTTCTTACTGTAGAAGCAGTAATCCCTGATGGCAGGGATTTAACCAGATTATATGCTTCTTCAAGCAATCCTGCTCGGCTTAATAAATCTACCATGCAGCCATAATGCTCTTCGCATGGAACTATGGAATATTCTTCTATCATGGATTTGAAAACTTCCAGGCCCTCGTTTACCATGCCGGAATGGCTACAAGCAGTGAGAATTGATGTAAAGGTTACCTCATCAGGCACAATCTTCACATTCTTCATCTGTTCAAATAGCATTAGGGCCTCCCTACATTTCCCATGGATCCCATATGCAAGTATCATCGTGTTCCATGATGTCAGACACCGTTCGACTGCATGCTCAAAAAGATTGGCAGCCATATTTAATTTCCCACACTTGGAATAATTAGTAATCAAAGAATTGGTGATAGATATATCATTGTTCACGTTAGCTCGATATAAGTGGCCGTGAACTTCCTTTGCTAAACTCAGACATCCAAGCTGACAAATTGCCTGAAGCAAAGTTATAAAAGTAACTGAATCATGCTCTGCTTGCTCTCTTTGCATCAAGCGGAACAATACAATGGCTTCATCAGCATGACCATGATAAACATAGCTCATCATCATTGAAGTCCACGAGACCAAGTCCCTATATCTGAACTTACTAAAGATTTGCCTCGCATTGCCTATACAACCACATTTTGCATACATGTAGATGATTTGATTGGTAATTTCAGCATTCGAGTCAAACCCAAGTCTTAATACATGTCCGTGGATGCACTTGCCTTTTCTTATATCTTTCAGCTCAGAAGTTGCAGAAAGTAAACTCAACATGGAACCTAGGTTTGGTTTAATACCTTCTCCAACCATTTCAAGAAAGGTGTCCATAGCTTCACTGGCAAAGTAATTGTGGAGGTAGCCTGCCATCATCACATCATAAGATATAGCATCCTTTTCCTCCATTCTCTCAAATAAATACCTGGCTTGGATCAACTTGTTTGATTTGGAGTACAAGTCGACCAGGGCGGTGGATGCCACTAGATCAAGTTGAACACAAACTCGAATAATGTAACCATGGATACTCTTTCCCTGCTGCAAATAATTCACGTGAGCACAGGACAGAATCCCATTGGACAAAGTTATCAAATCCGGGACAAAGTTATCTTGCATCACTTGACAGAACAGGCGGAAAGCTTCTGAGGGTTGCTCCATTTTAAGATAACCAGCAATCATCGTGTTCCAAGAACCAATTGTCTTTTTATCCATTTTGCCAAAAATGCAGGCTGCCATTCTAGGGGCTTTACATTTGTTATACATGTCCAAGAGACTCGTTTCAAATACTTCATCCGAACTACCAATTCCTCTTCTAACAGCATAGCCATGAACTGAACAACCTTCTTTTAGTGTTTCCAACTGTGACGCTGCCTGAAGTAAGCTCACCAGAGTGACCCGATTAGGATGCAATCCTCGCCTCTGCATATGGCGGGCAAACCGAAAGGCCTCATAGGCACGTTGATCACCACTCTGAGCATACCCAGTAATTATTGAAGTGTAGACAACAATATCCCTGTCAGTTATTTCTTCGAACACTTTAGACGCATCGTTAATACGCCCACATTTACAATACAACCCAATAAGCGACGAACCCACAAATCCGTTTGCATTCAACCCAGACTTTAAAGCATCCCCATGAATTCCTTGGCCAAATTCCAAATTTCCCAACTCAATACAACTTTTCAAGCTAAATGTAATGGCCGCGCTATCCAACCCAATATTCCATTGCTTCAAATTTATGTACCGCCTAATAACTTCTTCAAAGTGCCCGCTTCTGAAATATCCAACAAGAATTGAATTCCAAAGAGAGAGATTTCCATTGATAATTCTGTTAAAAACCCATCTAGATTCAGATAAAAGGCCAAACTTTGCATAGCAATTCAGAAGCTTAGACCCGAGAAAAATATGGTTTCCGAGCCCGTGAGCGAAAATGCGAGCATGGAGTTTTCTCAGTGAAAAAGCGTCTGCACAATTATCCAAGAAAGAAGCGAACTTTTCTGAAAGAAATGAAGATCGAGAACCTGGGTCTTCAACAATTAGTTTACAGAGAGATCTAATCTGGGTTGTGATACCTAATGATCCGAACCCAGATTTAATACCATTCATGATTGTAAATGATTGGTGAGAAAGCAAGCATTTTGATACTCAGAGTCGAAGTGATCCCCCTCTTTCTCTCTCTTCTACAAACTAATTTTTGAAATTACCGCCATAAAAAAGCACGCGGTGGAGATACAGCTCTTAATGTTTGTGAACCGCGGCACAAATGATTGGCAAACCAAAGTATATCCAACTTTTCTAATTTTTTTTTGTTTTTTTTCATTCCAAGAGGTATTGTATACCATTCTAATATTTTAAGAGGAAGATTCTCATAGAACTGAAATTGGGTGGGTGGTGAGTATTTGTTCTGCAATGTGATTCTTAAAGTGTTTTTGACTAACTATGGTAAAATGGAGGTAAGAGTTTCAGAAAAGGGCCAATGCTATCCATGACATTTATGGATGATAATAGCCATTTTAGTTTGCCATTTTCCTTCACTTTATGTACAAATATTAATAATCATATTATATAGGGGTTTTTGTTTAGTACAAATGATTGAGGGAGAGGAGTTTACACAAATATTCACTGGGTGACTAGGGGTTTCGAATCTCTGACCACATGTATGGAGATGGAAGAGCTCAACCAATTGAGTTATACCCCACTAGCATAGGTATTTTGAATATAAGCAATAGTCTAAACTATAAGGATAGGGGGGTTTACAGACACAATACAAATGTGTTATGGGGATTTGAACTTGATATCAGTAGTCTACAAGTCAATGTCATTTTCCACTGAACTAGACTCTATTGGCTATTATATAGGTATTTTTTTTATATACAAGCAATAGTCTAAACTACCGGAGTTGGGAGTTTCACACACACACACACCAAGATGACATGAGGATGAACATTTTTGGGCTTGCAACAGAAAAATAAAAACATTTTTGGGCCTACTAATCCCTTCTTTTCAAATGTCCAAGAGCTTGGACTAGGGCCCATATATATTCTTCGAACAAAAAAAAAAAAAATTAGGAACCTCTTGATGACAGTAATATTGGAAGGTTTAGGGTTAATTTTGTGCATCGCCTTCCAGCTCAGAAATATTTAAAGTAACATTTATCCACGTAGGTTGTAAAAGGCCCTTTGCCTGTAAAGAAACAGATTAGGAGAGGAATTAATATTTAAGTGTTAATTAATATAAGAAAGTTCATATCTAATTATAAACCCAAATACATGGACTTCGGAATTGAATTAGGGTACGATGGCGGAAGCAAGAAGGAAAAGAAATGTTCAATAATGTTACATAAAGTGAAAGAAAAGAGGTATTAACTTACTTACTCGATCTTCTCTCCGATCCTTGAGAAGAACAAACATAGAACCCAGAGAGGAAGTGGTGATATGAACTCATCTCTTCTCCATGTGTGCTTTTGAAGGAGAGTTCAAGGGTAAATTAGTACAAAATAATCTGTGATTTTGGAAGGAAAAATGAGGGGTAGATCAGTAAAAAGCCTTAAAAGTCAAGGGTATATAGTCTCGCCTTAGATGATACCTGAATGTTTTGACCAAAGAAAACAGATATAATATATACCTGAATGAATGCATTCCGATTGCTACTTGATCCCTTTAAAATGTTGGGCTGGCATATTCAATCGAAGCCCACATTCTTTGCGAAGCAATATTTCAGAAATATAATAAAAGCATGGCCGGTCTCTCTTTAATTTCCAGCACACAAATATATTTAATTACTTAGGTAACTTTGTATTTGCAGCTTCTGCTTTGCTTTTATCGCCCTCACTTCTAATATTCCCATATAATTGATCTCCCATCCTCTGTACGCGTTTGTCTCAAACTAGTATTTGGGCTGTTCCTTCATTTCGAGAGCTTGAGTAGTGGTGATCTTGTTTGTCACCCCTAAATCTGAATGTTAGTTGCCGATTAAATGGTCTTCTGGTCATCATGACCTTCATGGCTATCTTTTTCAATTCTAATATTCTGGTTTTGACGACTGCAGGTTATTAGTATGGCGGCGCAAGATATTGCTCCTACACAAATCCTGGTGGGGTTTCCCTTTGTTTTAGTGCTCAGGTTAATTTTGTGGTGATCTGTATTGTTAGTCTTCATTTTCTTATTGACAACAGATGAGCCATGCCCCCAAATACTATACCTTGATACTCTCTCTCTCTCTCTCTCTCTCTCTCTCTCTCTCTCTGTAAACACATTTCGATTGTCCCTAATTACTTAATTCCTAGACTATGCCTCGTGTTTCTGAAAGGCATCATTCTGTCAAGTCTATCATCTCTTTTGCTAGCCAAACTCATGTGGGGCCTCCGCAGCAAGATCATGACATTTTTCTCTCTTCTTTTTCTTGTGTGAAGTACATACTTATGTGAATATGTGATAGCATTTTACATTGATAATGCAACTACCACGTTTGTAAACCCTTCGAAGTCTAATGGGACTCTC